AGATAGATAGATAGATAGATAGATAGATAGATAGATAGATAGATAGAGATAAACAAGCAAACAAACATGGATAGATACCATCTGGGTGTAACACTACCTCTAGTTCTCCATTTATGTAGCAAAACTGGTACTCTTATCCTCACCTGTTGCTAACAGGTATGGACATCTTTCTACAGCAGTAGCTCATAACAGGTATCAAACTTAGGAATCTTTGATCTTAGGATGCAAATCTAAAAAAGTCGAATGCGAGCATTCCTAGTTCAGGTAAAATAGACACCTGAGCCTATTTTTACTTTAGTGTTGCCCCTAAACTCTCTCTATAGCCATTCAGTTGAGATGCTTTTTTTTGGTGTGGGTGGTGGGGAAACCTGCAAAATAGTTTTTGGGCAGGCGCCCCACCTGTGTGTGTGTGGGGGGGGTGTATGGGGGTGTATACATGTCCATTCCCCCCTCCAATTCCACTTGGTTTGAACCTACTGGCTTGGGGTTTCTAGCTGTCAACCGGGCCCGGTCAGCTCTGGGTGCAAGTAGAAAAAGAAAAAGAAAAAAAAGGGTGTGTGTGTTATTCTCGCTGGTCTTTTAAATCAGCTTCTAAAGCTCGCGGATACGTCAACCGGCCGTCCAGACTGGGACTCGGTGCCCACCGGAGCCTTCCAAAGAGGACTGGCAGCGATACCAAGTCGGGGGGTGGGGGGGTGGGGGGGGAGCCGCGGGCCGTGGCGCTCCTCGACCCCGACTTGTCCAGCCCGCGTCTCTCTCTCTCTCTCCCCCCCCCCCCCCCCCCCGGCTAGGGTGGGGGTCTCCAACCTTGGCCCCTTGAAGCCTGGAGGGCTTTCAACCCCAGCAAAGCTGGCTGGGGCATTCTGGGAGTTGAAGTCCTCCAAGGCTCCAAGGGGCCAAGGTTGGAGCCCCTTTGCTTTGGAGGGTCCCTGCTGGTCCCAAAGGGCGGGCGCCCGGAGAGAGCCGCGAGGCTGTGCAAGAGGGAGGGGAGCCGCGGCCGAGGGAAGAGCCCAGGAGAGGCTGGAGGGCGGAGAGTCTTTTCTTTTCTCCCCCCCCCCCCCCCCCCCCCCCCCCCTCTCTCTCTCTCTCGCCCCCCCCCCCCCCCCCCTTTTTTTTTGGGGAAGGGCTCCCTTCGCCTTTTTTTTTTTTTTTGCTGCTGCTCTTCTGGTCCTTCCTCCTCTCTCGCGAGAGAAAAGGGCTCGGCGCGGACGATACTTGAAGGGGGGGGGGGAGTTGAGGAGGGGTGGGGGGAGCCCGAGAGGGGGGACGGGAGGGAGGGGGGAGAGAAAGAGCGGAGGGGAGGGGACAAGGAGGTGGAGGTGGAGGAGGCAAAGCGGGCTGAAGGGCAGAGCCAGCGAGCGAGGAGGAAGGCGGACGGGCGAGCGAGCGGAGCGCTGGATGTGGCGGCCCCCGTGGCAAGAGGCGCAGAAGCGGCGGCGGCGGCGGCAGCAGCAGCAGCAGCAGCAGCGGCTCCCGTGGGTGCAAGCGAGCTCCTTCCCGGACTGGGGCTAGGGAGGCTTTGCGGTGGGGCAAAAGGAAAAGAAGGAGAAGGAGAAGGACGAGAAGAGCCGGGCGGGGCAGCGCAGCCTGGAGCCGCTTCTTCTCCTCCTCCTCCTCTTCCCGAGGCGGCTGACAGCGCCTGGCTCCGGATCGCGCGCGGGCATCCTTGCTTTGCAGCGGGCGCCCGCTTGGGGAAGGGGCGTTGCTCGCGCGTGGGAGTGGAGAAGGGTGTGCGGGGGGGGGGGGGGTGTCCCTTTGCCAAGGCGGCCGAGGGACGGGGCTGTCTAACGCCCGGGCTCTCTCGCCCTTCTTCCCTTCTCTCTCTCGCCCCCCTCCAACCCCCTCCCCAGGTCCGGCTGGGAGAGCCTCTGCTGAGCGCCCTGGGTTAGCCAAGGAAGGAAGGAAGGAAAGAAAGAAAGGAAAAGAAAGAAGGAAGGAAGGAAGGCAAGAAAGAAGGAGCCGGGCGTGGAGCGAGCCCTTTGCAGCGGCGCGGGCGCGATCCCAGGGCGAGGGGCAGCCGTGCGGAGCTTGCAAGGCAGGACCGGAGGAGGAGAAGGAGAAGGAGGCAGCCCCGCCGCTCCAGCATCCCCGCCGCCGCCGAGATGCGGCTGGGCAGATTGCTCGTGACCGTCGCCTGGGGCTTCGCCGGGCTGCTGCTCGCCTCGCCTTCCCCGGGCGATGGGATCGCCGAGGGCAGCCTGAGAACCGCGGAGGGCGCCGCTGCCGCCGCCGCCTCCTCTTTCGCCTTCGCCGCTGCCAAGGAGACCAACAGCCGGGCCAGCAGAGCCAAGCGAAGAGGGCAAGCGGGAGGCGCCGCCGGGCACGACGCGCTGAAAGGGTAAGGGGACGAGATGGGAGGGAGAGCGGTTGGGAGTGGGTCCAGGCAGGACCCAGCCCTGTTTCCCCCAGTCCCGCAACGGACGTGGTCTTGGGGATGCCCAGGCTGAGAATCCCAGGCCTCCAGATGTGGAGATGGGAGCTGTCAACGAGCTCTTCTACTTTCTCCCCCCCCCCCGCACATATGGAGGGTTCAAAGTGGCTGGAATAGGGACCCACTGATCCTGGGAACCAGGGCTTGCCTTAACGCATGGGCTGGACGATGGGCACCTGCCTGTTTGCCCCAAGAGCATTGGGGCCCCATAATAATCATCATCGGTGCATATTAACCCTTCAATGCACCTTGTATCATGGAAATACAGCAACTCTATGGCTTAGTTTGTCCCAGGGGCCTCAGTACACAAGCTTTTACCAGGGCTTGTAATGTGTGTGAAGACAGCCCTGCTCGGAACCCAACTTTCCAGAAATGGGACCCTCCTGGGCGCTTTGCTTCTTTAAGGGCTGGAGGTCTTTCTGTCCCCACTTGACTTGCCAAGGGATGGAAGAGGCGCCCGGTGTGCTCACTGCTTCCGAAGGATGCAGGGTGTGGTCTGGAAAGGGCAGCAGGTTCCTGGGCTGTCTCCCTGGCAACGTGGCTAGGAAAAGGATGCAGAGGTGGCAAAGACAGACTCGCACACAGCTGGAGTCCCAGGAAAACCGTTGCTTGCTTGCTTCTAAGGGGCTCCGTCAGCTGGCCTGCATTAGTGCAAAAACTGACTTCCCTTCCCCGCCAAGAAATCCCGCAGCATCTTAAGAGAATGCGCCTTTATTGCGACGGCCCTTCATTGATCAGATTCGTTCGCTGCCCATCTCGAGGCTCAGTTGTCACGAAGTGCAAATTTCCCTTCCTGGTTTTGACAGTTAGGCCGTGGGACACGTTGATTCGTTGAAGGGTTAAAAGCTCAACTTACAAATATTGCAAGAGGCAAAAAGCCTCCAGCCTGGGAACAGACAAGCATTTGCTGTAACTGCTGAGAAATTGCACGATTTCCTTTTTTCCAAGAAATATATTGTTTGCAGGAAGAATGTCCTATTTCCCTTGCTAGCATTCTTGCCTAAAAGATATTGCCCTGCTTAAGTGTGTGTGCACGCGCGCATGTCTATGTGTGTTTAATTCCTGGAAAACAGTTGCCAGAAGTGGGATTCTTGTAGGTATTGAACCTGGAGAAGAGAGAAATGGATAATAAGAGCAGTTGGTGAAGTTTTTGGATGCCCTTCAGAGATAAGATGCTTAAATTCTGATGAACAGATAGCCTGCTAAGCTCTAACAACTTCTAGCATTACCTTTTGGTACTTCGTGTGGTATAGAGAAACGTTTAAAACAGGTGCATATTTTCCTATATTGTGCTTGCTTCCATAATTGCATTTGGATGCAAACGATCTGATTTCAACCCCAGCTATGTTACTCTATAAATATGGAGGGGTGTATTGCAGTTGTATCACTAAAGTTTGTGTTCCATTTGCTAGGGGTGTTGTTTTAAAGTTCTAAAGATTGTTGGGTCATTCATTCTCCCTGGTTTTTTTATGTGCAACGATCATCCTACTATGGTATTGTGGATTGTGCATATTTAGAACATAGAATAACAGGGACCTTGGAGGTCTTCTAGTCCAGCCCAAGCAAGAGATCCTATACCATTCTGAACAAATGGCTATCCAGCCTCTTCTTGAGACAAAGAACAATATTTAGGCTCAGCAATTCTTCTCTATGATAATTCAGTTAATAATCTTGGGATATCTGTAGACTGAGTATGTTTGCTTTCACTAAGTGGATTCATTTGGAGTTTATAATGTTGCATCTTGCTTTTGTTTCTGTTTGTGCTGTGGTCTTGTGTATTATGGTTAAACTACAAAGCTGCTAAGACTTAATAAGTCAGGGTAAGTCCTGCGGAATTTATGGGAATGTTCTTTTAAAGAACACATGCATACAATTTTGCTTTTAAGTGGCTTATATTATATGAAACATTCTCTTTTGACCGTGCATTGACAAATTTGCGCTCCTTTCAGTATTTTGCATTTGAATATGGGACCAGAAAAGTCAAGGTCCAGGAATTTTACTGGCAGTTCCAAAAGTGAAAAAAAAAAAAAGCCTTTTTACAAAGCATCTAGAGATTCTGGTGGGCCTTTCTTGGAGATTTTAGGAGCATACTTACAAGTGGGACTGGTTGTTGCCTTTTTTTACATCGGCCTTCTTATGACTTGGTGAAGATTGACTCTGTGTGTGTGTGTGAGAGAGAGAGAGAGAGAGAGAGAATATTGGGTTGGATTAGAAGACCTTCAAGATCAATTCCAACTCTTTTATTCTGAATACATATATTCAAAGTTGGAAGGGACCTTTTTTATATAATCAAGTTTTTTAAAATTTCAATCTACACATACACATCAATACATAGACAGTGTATACATTATACATTTTAGTATAAGCAAAATTAATAAAACTAATCTTACCTCTTAATACACATATTCACATTGTTATCATCTTTCACTGCTTAATTTTTCAACATTTCCATACTCTCTCCTAGTGCCAATTACCATATCATTGAAACATACTTAGTAATTTCATCATTCAATCTCCTCTCCTATTTTTCATTTTTTTAAAATAAAAGTTCTCATTTGGCAAGCAGTGTGGTTCCAGGCTTCACATCGCAACACAAACATGACAATAGTTACCTATTCATCTTACTTACTCAGTTTCCTATCACATCATGTGATATTATCGTTTTTCTTAAAATATTCTCATATCTTATTTTACAGTATTTTTAAAAATTTTTGTTTCATTTCTATATTCATATCCCCTGTTGCCTTTATCTGTCATATTTGCAATTTTATCAATCCTTATGCTATTAATTCTAGAAATTGTCCCCTTTGGTTATTAATTCGAGCTTACCACCTTCATTCTACTTAATAACAGTATTAGAGTTGGAAGGGACCTTGAAGGTCATCTAGTCCAACCTTCTCCTCAAGAAGGAGACCCTCAAGAAGGAGACTGTTCTGTATACATTTTTGTTCAATCTCTTCTTAAAATGCTCCAGTGATAGAGTGCCCACAATTTCCGAAGTTGTGTTGCATGCAGGTGTGCAGGTGTGCGCATGCACAATGCGAGAAAGAAAGGGAGATTTCACAAGGCATACTGGTATAACCCACAAAATTGTTGAATAGTAGGATAACTATGAAATCAGATATTTTAGTTTAATTGGAATTGCAAAATCTGGATTTTGGTATGTAGGATGTTACTGTTGGGGTGATGTTTCCATTCTGTGTCCATACATACATAATGGTAATGCAAAAAGGGGAAAAAAAATAAGGCTGTGATTTGAATTTCTTTGGCATCATTTTAGTATATCTAGACAGGGGTCTTCAAACTTGACAGCTTTAAGACTTGGGGACTTCAACTCCCAGAATTCCTCCTCCAGTCATGTTAGCACAGGACTCCTGGGAGTTGAAGTCCACAAGTCTTTAACTTGCCAAGTTTGAAGACCCTTGATCTAGAACATCATTTGGGAAGCACATTAATCCTACAAGAATTACATATTTTTACTTCCTTTTGTTTTTGGATTGTGGGCAGATCAATATTTCACACACTGGTCTTTTGACTACTTTTGCTTTACCAATCCTTCAGGCTCCAGAAAGATCAAAACTTTTCAAAAACCAAAGCCATTTGCAGAGAAGTTATAAAAAAAAAATCTTCCAAGCTTCCTTTGACTGTAGCTAAGAGGAAGCAAAAACAGAGCATTTTTAAAAATTCTTTATTGTGGTTGTTTACTTTGCAAAGAATAAACTCTAGACTGGAATAGGCTCTTGTGTACATTAATTCAAGTCTGCCTTTTTTTTGAAAATTACATTTAATGATTAAATGAAATGTTTAAAGATGAATTATAGTCTATGCATCAATTTTACATGACATTGCTATGTCTTCCTTGTTGGGTAGAATTTGCTTGTTTGCATATTTGCATAGTTTATACACATGATTTAGGAGTTCTTTAAGAGTCTTGTATTGATTATCCCAGAAAAGAGCCCAGGAAGTAAATACCACTGTTGCCTCTGCCAGGCCCTAAGTCTATTGTTCCAGCCATCTTTCTTTCTTTCTTTCTTTCTTTCTTTCTTTCTTTCTTTCTTTCTTTCTTTCTTTCTTTCTTTCTTT